AGAGAGCAAAATAATCTAGAGGCAGAAACATATCTGTTGGCCTTTTTGTTATTGGACTAGTAAATAACATCATCTTGCTTGCTGTGACTTATAATGTCGACTCTGTAAGGTCTGTAAGCTGATTTGTTTGGGAGAAGTAACATTATATTTGGTTTCGTGGGTGACTCACTTATCCATGAACTTACAGCAGTTTTCTGGAGGCTCTGATCACTGGCAGCAGCCTCAGAAGAGCCTCCTCCGAAGCACAGTATCTCTGCAGGTCAAACACATCCAGATGTTTTTCTGAGGACAGTAAGATGAAGAGAAGTGTCGACCACTGAGCGGGGGACAGTTTATCTTTGCAGAGACTTCCTGAACTCAGGTATCGTTGGACCTCCTTCACCAGAGAATGATCATTCAGCTCATTCAGGCAGTGGAACAGAAGGATGCTTTGTTCTGGACCAGGATTCTTCCTGATCCTCTTCTTCACATACAGGATTGCTTTTTGATTGTTATGTGAGCTGCTTCTTGTTTGTGTCAGCAGGTCTTGTAGGAGAGTCTGATTGGTCGGCAGTGATAGACCGAGGAGAAAGCGAGCAAACAAATCCAGGTGACCGTTTGGGCTCTTTAACGCTGTCTTGACTGCATTTTTTTGGACGTTCAGAGCCGTAGAAGAGTTTGATTTACCGAAACACATGAACAGCCTTTGCACGGTGAGTCGGGGGACGGGCATCACATTTCTGTTGTGGCTAAACAGTGATATGGTCACGTAAACTGCAGCTAGGAACTGATGAATGCTTTGGTGAGTAAAGCTGAAGATATTCTTCTGGTCCTGTTCCTTCCTTTGTCCACAAACCTGCTTGAAGATCTTTGTGAACAGTCCTGCGCACTTTGACGCTGCTCTGACGTGAATGCCGCTGCAGCTCAGCTCCTCCTCGGTAAAGATGGCGTTTCCTCTCAGCAGCTGGTGAAAAGCTAGTTCAGCCAATGACATAATGTACCGAATGCACTTTTCTGGGACATGCTTCTGCTTTGTGTGGTTAATCTCGACCATCAGGAAGTGGATGTACATCTCAGTCAGGGTGTTGGGCAGCTCGCGTCCCTCGCTGGTTTCCAGCACATCCTCCAGAACTGCAGCTGTGATCCAGCAGAAGACTGGGATGTGGCACATGATGTGTAGTCCTTGGGATGTGTTGATGTGGGCGACCATCCTGTTGGCCTGCTCCGCATCTGTGAATCTCTTTCTGAAGTAGTCCTCCTTCTGAGGGTCAGTGAACCCTCTGACCTCCGTCACGCTGTGGACGTACTGAGGGGGGATTTGATTGGCTGCTGCAGGCCGTGTGGTTATCCAGAGGCGAGCAGAGGGAAGCAGTTTGCCCCTGATGAGGTTGGTCAGCAGCACTTCTACCCCGGCTGACTTTGTCACGTCAGTGGACTTCTCTGTTCTTCCTGTGAAGTCGAGCTGAAGGCGGCTTTGATCCAGTCCATCAAACACAAACAGAAGTCTGAACTCACT